CTACTGAATGTGCTTCTCTAGTATTGAGGAACACGTTTCTGCTGAAAACTGAGGTCAAAAATTAGGAATTATGCAGCACTCCAAGAAGAAGGATTTTACTTTCCAATTGCACAAAAGTCGACTTGAGCTAAAAGCTTCTGTCTTTGTGGAAAGCACTGTCGTGTGCATTAACTTGAGATTGAAAAACCTGTGAAAGTCAACCTGTGAACGGAGGTTGTTTGCACATAATGTAACACCTCATGCCCCTGAAGTTACTCTGATGTACTTTATCATGGCAGGCTAAAGTAACTATAGCTTGGTATTCAGGAACTTGGATGTCACCTGAATAAAAATGAGTATATATTGGGGAATGGGTGGGTATTTGGGATCACTGGATTTATTCACGCTATTGAAGGACAGTTTGGTGTCTTCACACTGATGAACAGATAAAGTACCAATTTTCCAGTACCACAATTCAGGAGGACCCTTGAGGTGTGTATATTCCACATTTAGTCACTGATACCACCTTTTGTGCACTTCAGTTTATGAAGACTTTTTGAAGGAGACAACTCTTGCCCAGGATTTGTCTGTGCATTGTCTTTATAAATACTTGGGTTGCTAGTCAGTGAAGGGGAAAGTGATTGTGTATGGATAACAAGGGGGTGTTTATGTGCATTGGGGTTTGTCAGAATTTTCAGATTGTTATCTCATTTGTATGCAGTACAAATGAGGAATAGCTATAACATGGTCATTATCGAGCTTTCCTAATAAGTAAAATCGTACATTAATGCAAACTTTTTAAAGGATATAACAGACCTCTTTCAAGCCTTATTTTTGTCTAGATTATATCTATTGTAACACCACATAGAAAATGCCTACTGATGGTAATGACTTTTGTGGAAGGTATGCCATTGAACTAATCAGGCCTTGTATTTGAACCAACATCAATCCCTCACTTCCTGTGCTTTTTTGTAAAGACCTATTTTTGAGGATAAACTCTTTCCTTCGATTTGGAGAAGTGATAGCCAGGTGTTTCCAAGGGATAATTTTGTGAAAAAATTGACAGTCTTGGTAAGACTGGGCTAACTTTACAGTTGTGTGTGGGGGCTGCAGGATGTTCTAGCTGGATTTCCAATATGAGTTCTGCCCTTTGGGAAGTTTAACAGTGGGTTACCAAAGCTTTCTGAGTTGCAGGGACAACACAAAATTTCTGTCTGATTGTGAAGCTGTACAGGGTGCTGATGTCCAGGCAGGGGGGCTCTGTGAGGGGAGGCCGGGGCTGCCCCGTGCCAGACACAGCCGGTTCCAGCCATCTCCAACCCACCCACTGCAGGGCACGGCTGAGCCCACAGACAAGGGGGGTGCCTTCGGGAAACTTCTTTTAGAAAGGAGAGGACGAAGAGAGCTCTTGAGAGAGGAGGGATCTAAAAGGAGTGACAACAGTGGGAACCCTAGGGTCAGAGGAGGAGGTGCTATGTTGTTAAAGAAATGTTCCTGAAGGACTGCAGCCCACAGAGAACACTCTTGGGGGAAAAGGAAGGAGCAGCGGACTACACTGACTGTAGACAGCCCCCATCACCACCTGGCACTGCTCCTTGTCTCACTGAAGGGACTGAGTGTAACCTGCAGCAATAGGAAGTAGGTGAAGTTGGGAGTGAATATGAGGATGTAAGGAAAGGTGATTGTAGTTGCTTAGTGATCTCCCTGCTGTTGACCCATGAACTCTTAGTCCTGTTCTTCCCATTTCATCCTGCTGAGGGAGGGAGTGAGTAAGCACCTGGTGGATATTTGGCTGCTAGCCAGGGTCAACCCACACAGAAAGTAGAAGTGATTCAGTCTCTGTCCAGTCTTACAGCAAGCAAAAGACCTAGATTTGGTTTTTTAATGGATTTAAAGATTTTAAACAGCAGCTGAGTAAATTTGCCACAAAAAGACCAAGATTATATGAGCACAGGTTCTAACCATGTCTGTGTCTGAGGTGTGCCTAAGTGTGCTTTATATTCAGGTGGTCTGGAAGCTGTGCTAGTGTTACGTACCACTATTCTGAGCTGCAAGTAGGGGAAAGCATAAGGATGCTGAAAAATAGACTTAAAATAAACAGTGTCTACCCAAAATGATGACTGACTAGGCAGGTGGTACCTTCAGCTCCTCCTAAAAAGCTCTGATACTTGGTTGTAGTAGGGTAGCAAGATATAACAAAGCTGGCCAAGCAACTGACATGCTTGCAGTTGTAATGCAGAAGGGCATGATGTAGATTCACTTCCCTACTCTGTACGCAACGTTGAGTTAAATGCAAAGCATCTCTGTGTGTGGAATGTTGTAGAAAAGAACATGAGCAACAGACAAATTCTGTATTCTCTAGTTTGCCTTTAAGAACAATGCTTGTTGTTTTTTGGATGGTTGTGAATGTCCTTTAAATGTTGAGGGTTTTTTTCCATAAAATAATACTTCAGAAATAGGATTTGTGACTTTTAACTAGTAAAAGGGGAGCATTCTTTAGTATCTCCAGTATCTGATTACTTTTGTTAATCAAAAAACCCTTTTTATGTCACAGTATTATAATCTTAAGCATTTGCTTTGCAGCAGTGTTTGACTCTATAACTAACCTATCTCTTCTTGGCCCAAGGAGACTATGGACCCAGGCTGGAAAAATCCAGACTAGATATGGTAACAGTTTGGTTTGACATACTTGCACAGGATTAGCAAAAACTAACGCTTGATTTATGGTTTGCAAACTACTTAAAGGTGCACATGGTGGGAATAAATATGTCATTTGGAGACTCCCATTTAAACATGTGAAATTTAAATAGTTCTGAGTCATCACTCATTTATGTAGTAAGAGTTGTTACTGTTCTATGTAGGACTGGCTGTTACAGATAGTCCCCTCAAATTCTGTCATGTGTAACTGTTTTATCCTGGGTAGTTATTATCCCAATATCGCTACTGCTTTTGTGATTAAAGGATCTGAGTTATTCAGGACTGTTGCAAATTAGGTTTAATGTTTTCAGGGTCATGAAAATGGAAAAAAGGGGAAACTTGAAATCATTCAGAAGGAAATAAACATTTATACATCCTTGTAATTTAAAACTGTCACTAATTAGCACTTCATCATTAATGAGCCTAGGTAGAGGGGAGGAAAAAATCAATGCAAGTACTACCAATTCAACCATTTGGTATCATCGTTATGGAAAGAATTGAAGAATTGTTCCACGTTAATTTTTAGTGGATTTTTTTCAATTTGCAAAATTGTTCTTTATCTTTCAGTATCATTTATTTCTTTCCCCTTATTATCATTTAAGTAAGTATCATCAATATCAGTTGGAGATTTTCTGGCTTGTTCAAGAAAGAAACCAACTTTCTAATGTGTTTTCAAAACAAATTTATCACTTCCTAATGATGAAAACAACTGTGGTAAAGCTTTTCAGGAGTACCTTGAATGTTCGGAAATGTAGTTCATCATAGATATCTAAGATGATCAGTCATGCTGGATTCTTTGAAGTAGAGTATCTGAGAAATGTCAGTGTATAGTTAAATTACATATTTGCACACAGTATGTGTAGTTAAATTGCATATTTGAAACATAGAAGTAATTCTTGTTAAGAATCTGTCAGACACAACTGTGTTTTAAATGTTTGGGAATTAGTCCAACCATAGCTGCACCTCAGTGATAGACTTGGATCACCTGGGACCTTCTAGCAGATTTGTGGTGTAAGGAGGTTGATTGTGTCCACCTGACAAACATGTTTTTATTTTATATTATTTTAACAGTTCTGTCTGGAACAGGCTTCCCAGAGAAGGGGTTGCAGCACCAACGCTGCCAGAGTTCAAGAAGCATTTGAATGATACTTTCAGGCACATGGTGTGAATCTTGGGGATGATCCTGTGCAGGATTAAGAGTTAAGTTCAGTGATCCTTGTGGGTCCCTTCCAACTTAGCATATTTTCTGATTCTGTGTTTTAAAGGGACAAATTGTCCCCAAGAAGGGAAGGCTAATGCTCTGTCTGTGCTGACTTATGGAGTGTTAAAAAACTCAACAAAACAACAACCAAAAAGCCCCAACAAACCAAAATGAAAGAAAACCAAACACACTGAGCCATCTAAAACTAGATTGCAACATCTGGAGACACCCTGACATCCTGGCCTTCTGGAAAGGTTTTTTCTCACTGTGGTTGGTCTCTGCTGTTGTCACTACTGAGCAGAAGAAATACAGTCTGGTATTTGGACTGTTGTCATGTAACAGGAGCAGAGATGTGTCTCTGTCACTCCTACAGAGCTACTTCTTGTCTGGTGAACACAGGAAAGGTTTATACTGCCTCTCTTGCATGTATTTTTAAATACCTTTTAAACAGGAAAGAAATCCTACAAAACCAGAGTGGTGCCATCACCACATGTAGTTTCCTATACAATAAAATAGTTGGGAAGCTGGCCCTTGGCTCTTCCCCTCCCTTCCCCTCTCAGAAAGAAGCAGAGCAGGGATGAGCAGGCCCTGATGAGGCTTTAAAGGTGTGGCTTTCAAACTCCCTTTGTCTTTGCATCCTGTACAACAGCATAGGCTACGTTTAAAAGGTGTGCAGATGGGCAAACCACAGTTCTGTGGTTCTTTTTCTGTTGCTTCTATCACTGCATAATCAGCTTGTATCTCTCCATCCATCCATCTTTTGTGATATGGTTCTTAAAGAAATAGTGTCTGCTCATGCTGAATGGGGATAAGTGTTTAGAATCTCTCATAAAATATCACTGTAAGTCGAAATGTCTTCTGAAGTTAGGGCAGAAGATTTGACTGACACAAATGAAAAAAATGTTTCTGGTGGAAAGAACTAACCCATGGAGTAATTGCTTATTTGTAGCTGCTGCAAAATTTGGTGCAGTTTTGTTGGTTGTAGGATAATTTCAGTGTTCCACACCTCACCCTCTGTAAGGATTTTTGAGAACACTTATTGCCATAGTTGGAAAAACATTTGAGAAAATCTATAGTGAGACCAATACTGAGGCAGATATTTGGGGTTTTTTCTGTTTTGTAGGTAGTGATGATGCAGTTGTGTTTCCAAGAAGAGTTTACAAAGTGGATCTGCCTCCAGAGGGTTATGTTGCAGCTACTCCAGATGCTATTAGTAGTGCAGTTTCAGAAAACTCAGGCAGTAGTGCTGACTCAACAGGTAAGTTTCTATGGTTGTTACTGTGATAAATTTTTCTCAAGATAAACTTCTTAGCAACTCTTATCAAGTAGATTCAGACTACAACAATTAAGGATTTAAACTGTTGCTGCCAGCGGGTGTCACTGTTTTGCAACATAAGCAAAATGAGGGTGTACATCCCTATGGGTTCACCTCCCTCCTTAAGTGTTGCACTACTAGATTCGACATTTGGTTATAGCCATGCAGTGCCACGTATCTTACTGAAGTTACATAAACTCTAACTGAAGACAAAGTCTTTAGCTCCTCCCACTCAAGTGACACATGTATATCCATGTTATGCCTGCTTACAGTCATGTTATTTTTAAGGATAAATGTTAGATAAAGCTGTTTTACTAAGTCTTACTCTTGATATTCTGAGAAACTGGGTAAAGACTCAACAACATTTCAAATTTACCTCTCTCAGTTAGAACAGACATTCATCATTGGTGTTAGTGGAGGGAGATACCAGTCCTTTAGTGTTGAGAGGCTCTCTGATGAGAAACTGTGACCAGATAACTTCAGAACCACTATTTAATGTTGTCCAAGAATACAAGAGAAGAAGCACAGAATCTGTAAAGTGAGCCTCAAGTTGGCCTCTTTTAAGTATATGGTTTTCTGAATGCCATTGCCAGAATAAATTGATTCTGTCTGTCTTTAAAAAAAAAAGTTCTGAGCTTAGACAAGACAAATTAATTCAGTTCTTTCAGTTGCTGTGTTCCTGTGGCTGTATGTTTGTCCAAAATGATGTATCACTGTCATTTGCTGCTAGGGGCATTCAACAGCAAAGAAAATATACAGGTTAGAAGCTGATGTAAAATACCTGATAAGCAGCAGTTAGTAAAGTACTGTATCTGTTTCAGCCTGGATACTGCCTTAAATTTAAGGAAAACCTCAAATATAACCTGTAGATATAGAAAGGCAAATTCTGCTTACCTCTGCAAACAGGACCCACAGGAGTGAATTTTCAGTTGGAAATTGGGTCTGCACTTTATTCTGAACTCCATTCAGAGTCTGGATACAAGTAAAACTATCAAAGTAGATTAAGAGACTGAAGCAAAATGCAGCATGACTGGTGGTGCATCAAGAGTATTCTTCCTTGGCATGGGGTGGTTTAAAGACCATTTTTTGAGTGACAAAGAAGTAACTTTATCAGAGTAACGTAAGAGCAGATCTTGATACCATTTGGATTATGGTTGGAAAGGTGGTCTAATCTACAGCTTCTAGGCTGTGCTTTTCTCTGTTGTACAGGATTCGTGGTCAGAGTCCAAAAGCTGTTTCTAGGTGATGCTTAAATTTGTTTAGTTGCACAACTGTCTTTGGGCACTTCACTGGGTTTGTTTCCCAGCATGTCGTATTCAAGCTGCTTATTCTGATCTCCGTGCATGCCATATAATCTCAGTTTATTATTTGGTGTTCTTTCCTTTTAGATATTAGAGGGATGTTTCCTCTTTTGTATTTTGCTAATAAGACTAAATGAAGTCTCATAGTACTTTGTAGGTAAATGTACCTGTAACATTCAGTTTTATACAGGGACTTAAGTTGCTTTTAAATGAAACACTAGAATACAGACCTCTGAACACTGCTGCAACCTCCTTGTTAAGGTATTAGCATGTCATGGCAAATTTACTCAACTGCTGTCTAAAATCTATGTGTAAATCAGATTTTACGTGGTGCATATTAGATATTGATATATTACATAGCAGTTAAGCAGAACAGCATTTAGGATTACATTGTGTTGTTTCTTTTTAAAGTCATATAAATGCTTGACCTGGTCTTACAGTGGATAGAATATTGAACAATGGCTCATTTTTTAGATTTAATCTTTTCCTTTAGGATTTCAAAACAAATGTATTCAACCATGATACCAAGTAGAGGTCTGATGTTGTGTAGCAACAGTATTGACTGTTGGATGGAGAGCTCTTTTAGCTGATCCCAGTTTCAGTGTTCAGAAAGAGCAGGTTTTGGACGTCAGCCACTTTTTCAACAGTTAACAAATGGATCTGGAATTTTGGGAGACTTATTTTTGGATTGGTTTGTTATTTGACTTTGCAGTTTATCAGTTTATCATGGAATCAAGAAATAATAAGTTTGAAGTGAAGTTTTTTAACCAGTGATTCTCCTTGCATGGTAGATGTGACTATAAATGTCATTCTTGCCAGGTGTTTGCCCAATTTGTTCTTAAAAATCTCCTCATAAGGAGGTTTTTCTTACATGCTCTTTTCTACTTGCTCTGGTGTTTCACTACCCTTTAATATTAGATTTTTCTTGTTGCGGTTTAGACACTTAATATTTGTTTTGCCTAAATACAGATTACAGATCTGTGCTAATCTTGCAAGGTTGAGGGGTGTGGTTAACGTCACTCCTGTGTATGTCATTTATAGTATTTAATTTAAGCAGATACATAAAACCTATTGCAGGATGAAGTCTATGATTTCAGGCAGTGTGCATAAAATCCAGAAGGAACAGTTTAGGCAATCACACCATGGATTGCTTAGTTGGCTCACTAGATTTAGTTGTATATCCCTTATTCAGATCGGGTTTTGAAAGGATAAATGAAAGCCTTTGACACCAAAGGAAAAAGAAGGAGTGTGCATGACTGAATGTATGAACATTCTCTCTATATAAAAACTAGTTTTTTAGAATTGTGGAATTGTCCCAGGTATTCCCAAAGAACCAGCTCCATAAGGCAAAGTTCAGGTCTGGTGTGTTTTAGTCCTGATGCTATCTATATGATATATTTTGAAGGGGAACAGGTAATGTGCTCTGTTTCCTAAAAAGCTGAGTATGTTGTTTATATGCCAGGTAACAAAAGGTTCCCATGTTATCCTTCTCTAGCCTTTGAGCCCAGAATTAAGGAAAATAAATTGTAATAGAAGAGTTAACTTTGTTCATAAAATCTTATGTGTATGAGGGAATAAGGAACTTTTGTTATAATTCAACAAGATAAGTTTCGTGGACATCCTGTTAATCAAGCAAGTGTCAGTAAAAATAATTGCAGACATCTTGCTAAACAAACAAGTATCAGTATCGGTAAAATTTACAACTGATAAGAACTGCACCTTTCATCTCTGACAAATGCCAGATGACCACTTAGCAATGAGCCACGAACTCAAGCCACAAGCAGATTTACATCCAAAACCCGGGACTTGAAAATGTATAAAAAGAGACACTGACTTCATTTCGGTGTGTGCCTCGGCAGGGCACTTGACCTCCAGGCCACCCAGCACTGTTTTGCTTTATTATCACTTACTTAATAAATTTATCAATGTTTAATTGGAATTGAGTTGTCTAAATTCTTATACTAACTTATAACATAAATGATGTGGAAACTCAAAAAACAAAAAGTAATCTGACTCAAAAATAATTTCATTGTTTATCAAACTTGTCATGAAAATAATCTGACTCTATTTTAGGATTTAAATTTTTCAGTTGCAATTTAGTTATATATCAGTGTGATTTGCTGTGTCTTCTCAATAAATTAAGCAAACAAAATCTGAGTCTATCTAATAACAAGATTGTCAAGAGGGGTAGATGTGCCATGACTGATATTTTATTTCACTAATCTGTGAAAGAATGAAATAATCTGTCATTAGAATATGAATGTAGCCATCAACTGATTTTGAGAAATTGTTTAAAAGTTAAAGTTAATTAAAATTATAAATTAAAACAATTTCTTGTCATCTCTAAAATATTTTTTGGCTTGTCCATTATTATTATTCTTTAAACTAGTTCCATTATGGTTGATACTGTCAGGATGAAATTAGTGTTGTCCACACCAGCTTGTGAACAAGAGGGAAAAAAAAGAAACAGATCTGTGTGAATATTTCAGTATGTCTTTCTCCATCTGTCCCTTCATGTATTTTTAGCATTTCAAATATTTTTTGAAATGCTTTTAAATACTTTTCTTTGTTTTGTCAAATAAACTGTGAGTAGTTATGCCCTTAACATTACACAGTCACCTTGTGATGATGCGTAAATGACTAATGGCGCTGAGATTCAAAGTTTTGTGAAGCATCTCTGCTTCCCTGTGTGATTTTCTTACACATTTTCCAGAGGTGAGGAGAATAAAGCTGCTATTCCATGTTTGTTTCTTTCATGTAAGCAGGTGATTGATGAACCTGTAGTAATGAGAAGAAAAATCTAAGAGTCTTCCTTATCTTTCAAGAAAATAATGAACATTACATTTATCCAGCATTCTTGGAATAATAAATTAGACTTGAGCATCTAATTATTAAAAACTCCCTGGACTGTTTTGTATTAATTGAGTCACTATGACAGTGTGATCATGTCAGCCTTCTTTTGATTGAATTGAGTAACAAGAATTAGACAGTCAGGGGAGGAAATAGTCCAGAGAATTTCTTTTGGTTTTCATATGATTTTCCTACTGACCTTGGTATGTGTTAATGCATTGCTAACTTGTTTAGCAATGAGCTTTATACGTTTGGCAAAGGCATTAAAATGTATAATTTTCAAGCTACAGATGAGTTATTATCCATGAAATTCTGGTTGTAAGTCCGATATTCTCATATCTTAAAGTTCTTAAATCGGAGATAAAAAATAATTTATTTTTATTATCTATTTATTGAGAAATACTTCTTCAAGAGTAGTTACTTGAAAGATCCACCATCATGTTTAAAAGGGTGTTCTATATGAAAGGAGAATCCAGAAAACTTTAGTTATGTGTCCCTTAACTTTCTAGGAATCAGTACTTTTGTTTTGGTTTTTACTTTCATAAGATGAAGTAATATTTTGTAGTGATTTTGCTTCTTATTTCAAGAGAGGTAAAACAATAGGAAACACTATCTTACATTGAATTGAATGCTAAAAATGTAACCTTATTCCTTCTAAAAGATAACCTCATTGATTTTATTTCTCTGGCAGTGTTTCTCCTTGGATACTGTAATTGAAGCTATGATAGAATATAATATATAAAGTTATTTTATTTGTGCACAAAAGACTGTGCTGGATTATAATTTCTCTCA